ATACAGAAGAGCAGTGAGATGATTGTTAATACAGACCAGCCTAAACATCATTTGTCTGGCAATCTGTTTCTTCTATATTTCCTCTGTGCTTAAGACTGACCTTGTTTATAAAAGCTGCAAAAGCTAAAGCTGCAAAAGCGTCTCCCAAAGGATGAAATCTCCACTGCATGCTTCCATGGCCAGCATATACTTGTCATTATACTATAATTAGAACTTTATCAGTCTTAGGAATTGAAATGTGTCTTTTGTCCTAAAGGCAATGATAGAGAAAAGACCGAATAGTCATTAAATGAAGAGATTTATCCTTCTCGTAGCATGTTTTTTCTTTTTTTTTAGCAAATAGCACGGCAGTCTGGTCAGTGGATTATAAGAGAGTATAAAGCTGGCATTCTGTTGTAAGGAGGATATCTTAGAGGATATCTTATGAAGTGTTAATATAAAAAGGTTTATATTCTGGGGAGAAATAACATTACAATCTGCACATATAACTTTAATATTTCTGGTGTGCAAGCTGAAATTCAATAAGAATCTGTTTGCAGTACTTTGCAGAAAAAGATGACAATTTCACCAAAGCCAATTTAAAGAAAAGCATGACATTAGTTTTAGAGCTCAATTCAGTCTGGGTCACAAAAGAAAGGGTACATATAAAAAGGAATTACAGTAAATATTGATGTGTTTTTTTTTTTTTATCTCATAAGAGCTTTATGTTCTGTGCTCGGATTAACTCGTGAAAGTGGCCAGTTTTGTATTTTTCTCATGCAACACAATTATATGAGTTATGTATAAGAGAAATACACGCAACAAATACAAGTCACGAACACAAATCATTATCATTTTTACTGAAGACAATAGAAATTCTGATATCTGATGTGGATGGTGCTATTAGACCACAGCTCACACGACCCAGTAAATGTTTAGATATCGTCCTCTGAGGTGCTTGAATATCTAAATGAAATGTTGTATGTTAGCAAAAGCCTTTGCTCAATGTTCAAGGACGCTCAGATGGTCATCTCCTCCTGTCAATCAGCAGCACAACTTCACTTCAACCGGATAGTTTAATAAATATTATCCTTCAATATCGAGCTGATATGGAGACAAATCTTAAGACAAATCTTCTAAGGTCTCGGCGTACCCAGCAGATATCTCGAACAAGACTTCCTGTTCAGATCGTGTTAACTATTAAAAAAGCTAAATTGCTAAAAGCTACAGTGTTTGCAGATTATGGATTCAAATATATAAGAAAAATGTAAAGATATATAAAATATAGAGTAGGGGTGCAACGATACACAAAATTCACAGTTCGGTTCGATAGTTTGGTGTCACAGTTCGATATTTTATTGATACAAAAAAAATGTTCATGCCTTTTTAATTTGTCATTTATTAAAATTATAAATATATATTTTAACTCAAAAGTACAGTTTTTAAATGGTTGCTGAAACATGTGCTAACGGCTGTCTAAATGACTCGGGTAAAGTTTGTAGCATGCGCGCTTGTTGTTTTTGTCTGCTTCCACTTGTCTTTGCACTAGGATGATGTCGGAGTAAATGTGCAGTCATATTCGTTGTGTTCCCACTAGTGCTGTCAGCGTTAATCTCGTTGAAATGACGTTAACACCACAACACTGCAAATCTCCGTTAACGAGCTACCGCGGATAGCCCCGTGCGTGGACAGCCAACACGTTAACGAGCTAACTGCTAACGCACTAGTTCCCACCAATGTAATTGAGCATTGCGTGGCACATCC